CACCATGTGAGTATTGGAAATCGACCCTGGGTCCTCTGAAGGATCAGGCAGTATTCTTAACCCCTAGACCATCCCTCCAGTCCTATATGAAATATTTATTTCACAACTTCCTTCTAAATGGTCTTTAAAATATCCCATGTATTCCTGACCAGATATATTTTTTATATAAGCCTTCAGTATTTGCAGTTATTGAATAATTTTAAAATGCCCATTCCAAGCAGATCAAGTGAAAATTCTCCATTTAATATGCCGCAACACTTTATTTGCCTACAAGTTGCTCTCTGAAACACATGAACTGTAAGCCAATTTTTTTATTTTCTTTAAAAAGAATGACAACATTGTTTCAGTATTTAATAACTCACATAATTTACTCGAAGGGAAAAATATCGAAGAATGGAATACCCTTTTTTCTGAATACATTCTTTTACAAAGTTTCTTTTTCACTTCTTTTTCACTTGATAATTCTAGTGTCTTTCATTTTCTTTTCTTTTCTTTCTCTTCCTTCCTTCCATTCATTCATTCATTCATTCATTCATTCATTCATAGACAGGGCCTCGCTCTGTATTCCTTCTTGACCTGGAACTGTCTTTGTAGACCAGGCTGACTTCAAACTCACAGAGATCAAACTGCTTCTGCATCTTAACTGCTGGGATTAAAAGTGTACACTAGTATATCGATGTAATTACCATGTTGTGACCAGAGTTTCAGAATATTTTTGAGATATTTGGGCTTGGGAGCTGTGTTGGTACCGAGGCAATCTTTGTCATAGGAAACACATGTATGTAGGTACTTATTTGCACGTGTGAGCACTCGAGAGCACGCATACACACACACACACACCACACACACACACACACCACACACACACACACTTTTTCTTCTAATCAAGCCACCTCTATGCATATTGTTTTCAAAGTCAGAGAAGGGAAAAGGGAGGACAGAGAACACACACTTTTATGCTCTCCCTTTATTTCCCTAGTGTGAACCAAAAATGGCACAAAGCACAGAATCCTAGTTATTCTCTGGAAACTCTTTGAATCAGGGAAATCACTATGTGAGTGCTTATTGGCAGTCTCTCTAAATGCTCCTTTTGCATCTTTATGGAATGACTAAAAGTTGCTTCCAGCTGGGACATCAACCTCCATTTTCTGTCCCTTTAAAGAAAAATTTTGTTCCTTGTAAAATAGAGACTAGAGATATGAGGCTAGTGTTCCAGAACTAGGAAGAATTGGACCAGGAGGCATGTTCCTCTCTCTCAGTACATTGTACCCAGAGATCTTACCATGTGTCCAATGGCAAATGTAACAAACTACTCACAACCTCTATTATATGTGTTACTGTATGTATAGATTTTACTGTATCTCCACTTGTATATACAGTTTTCATTTGCTATTTTAGTACACAACTTTGCATATTTATGTGTATAAATACACAGTAAAATTTCTCATTGTGATTTCTGTAGATACTGCACAGTTAATCATTCATAGAGCTGTACAAAGCTGCATCCACTCAAGCATTATATGAGCATGACCTTTAGCTATACTTAAGGTACTAACAGTATCTTACCAATCTTTACATCATATCTGGAAGGTTGACTTCACAGTTTAGTCTTAGGTGTCTTTTATTGTCATATGTCACTGTGTCATCATAATGAATTACTTGACATAGGCTACATATAAGGCAAAGCTGACTGATTTAGAAATATTTAGTTTCTGTACTTAACTTTTTTATCTTTTACATTTAGACAGCTAATTCATTTACAATTAGTCCTGATATTAGATGAAGCTTCAACATTATTTTTTTAATTGCTGTTCACACGCACTCATTTGCTGAGTGGTCTCCTTTTCTCCTGTGATTAGCATAGGATCTTTAGTTTGTGCGGTCTTACTATGGATTGGAGGTCAGTTTCTTCCCTTTCTGTTTTATCCATTGATGTATCTGTTTTAGTCATTAACACCACTCTATTTTATTACCTAAAGAACTTATATCCTCTTCACCATGGGATACATTTTAAAACTGATACTATCATTTGTTTCCCATTTGCATTTAAGCTTGACTTATAATATATTTTCCCTTTGTAAAAACTTTTGACTCCTGTTGGTGATAAACTACCCCATGAATAGATCCAATAAGTTGGTAGATTTTGAAATTAAGACACAAATTTAGCTGTGCTTGTGGGGTAGACATTGTATAATCATCAGTTAATGTGTTTTTGCTTGTCAAGTAGGAGCAGAAGATGGAGGTCCTAGGAAGTGAAAGTCCAGTGTCCACTGAGCCTGCAGAGGGAAAGCAGGTCTGAGTGAGGGTGGAGGTGTCCTGAATTGATTGCACTTTGTAATGCGACTGAAATGAAACATGTAGAGAGAAAAAGGGTGTTACTCTCTCACAGATTGTGTAGAGTTGAATGAAAATAAGTGTTTTCCGTTTGCAGTAAGCTTCATGGCAAGAGATAAAAATGTATATAATGTAATACCTCTTATTTCTCCTAATAGAACTTAAGGATAGATGTTGGGGGATAGACAGATGGATGGGTGGATGGATGAATGGATGGATGGATGGATGGATGGGCTGATAATAGTTTAGTATGGGCTTTTCAGTCATAGAAAATTTGTGATGCAAGAGGTGCTTTTCTTGTTCTCTAGCCAAAGACTCATGCCCATAAAGCATCAAGGCAAATTACATGGTATCTGATGCTACATGCACACACATACTCCAATGGGCCTCTTTGAATATAGCAGCCCAGTGGTCAGGCAGACTGACTTACAGTCAAACATGGATGTCAAGCTGCTGAGTCACCATCTAAGCTAGCAACAGATATTTTTGTTTTGTAAATTTCCAGAAGAGATGCTGTTTTTTAAGGTATTTTGTTCTATTTTAGTACCTCAGTTCATCTAGGAAAATGACCACCATTTAGTTTTCTCTCTCCCACAATACTTGGGTACATATAGGGGGAAACCAAGCATGTATTACAAGGGGCAACACTATCTGCCTCACCCCAGTTATGACTCCTAATTTTTAGTAATGTCTTAGTGACAGGCAGGTATATGACACTCTTTGATATTTGCACATAAACCTTGGACCTTTGGAATTGATGAAGGTTCTACTTTTGAAAGAAGTTTTACTTAAACAGATCTGAAGCCTTCTTTGGACTATCATTTAGATACGAACCTGCTTAACCTTGTTGGAATGGGATACATAAACAGCAATTTTAGATTTAGGTTGCAAATACAAGTTGAACAGTCAAACTTGCCATAAATGTGCCTGTGTTGGGCATCTTATGTAGAGATAATCATATTTATGAGTCTAAGAATAAAGAAATACTTGGTAAATTTCTCTGACAAAAATGTCTTTCAAAACTCCACATCCATCTCACTCCTCTTCATGTTCCCAGAGTAGCATCTGCCACTTAATATTTATTGAATGAATAACATAGAGGACTTCATTCCTTAGAAAGATGGTTTAGAACCAAGAAGTGAACTATTTCATGTAAATAGGTGATGTATACATATGTCCATTCTGACTTCTCCATTTTGATTGAGAAAGGCACCTTTGTGTCCCTTCTCAATTCTTCAGTCAAGTAGGAGAGAGAAAGATTTTGAATCATTGTGTGGGCAGATAAGGGATTATAGCCCCGAGCTACATAATGTCCCTACTCCAATTTTGACTTTGTGAAAACAAAGATAAATGGCTAGATAGGAAATTTCAAAATATTGTGACAAAATTAGCTGTCAAAGGAGCATTCCTCAGCAAGAATGACACCAGGGCTAATCCTGCATTTGAGATGTCCCCCTCCTTTTCTTCTTTGTGCCATAATAACCTGTTTTTTAAAATATCCTTTTATAATAGCTCTGCCACAAGATTACAAATGCTGTGTTAAACTCATGGTTGAAGAGAAGGTCATGGTTAAATGTTAGAGCTTTTCTGGAATTTTGTGATTTTGAAGTTTAGAGCTGGCAGGGTGTCCATACCTCAAGAAACTAATTCTGTAGTCTGTGCCAGAGATAAGAGTAGGGCATGATTTTTTTTCTTTGATTCACCTAGTAGTGTTCCTCCACCATCTTGTGTTTTTTAAAATCCATGTAGATCTAGCCAGCTGCAGTGGTGTATACAGGCAGTCCCAGCATTTAGGTAGCATAGGCTGTTCCAAGGTCAAGGCTGCCCATGGCAAGTTTCAGGCCAGCCAGAGCTACACAGTGAGATGCTTTCTCAAAAAGACAAATGAAAAAAACAGACAAAACCTAAAAGCCTGATGCCACAATACTTAAGAACATGTTCATAGTAGAGGGAAGAGGCACATGGGTCAAATGCCATCTATTTAATGACAATGTACTTCAACACCACTGTGTTCTTCCGGTATGCTTTAGGTATACTATTGCAAGAGCAGAATGCAGAGCGATATCAGGCATGTACCCACAAAGCCTGAAATATTTAGTATTGAACCTCTATAGGAAAAGCTTGCCAACTTTTACTATGAATGGAAATGTACCCTAAAAATTATCACTGTCACTTTAGAACAAATTATGAGTGACATGTTTTTGAAAGAAAGAAAGAAAAACAGAAAGAAAGAAAGAAAGAAAGAAAGAAAGAAAGAAAGAAAGAAAGAA